ATATGTAGCATTCACACCTATCACATGGAATGATAGCAACATTCTGAGATCACGACAATATTATAAGAATCTAGGCAAGGAAATTTCGAAGGCACTAACTTGATAGAAAAGACAGAGTACAGTAATACAGACAAAGAATGAACAGCTGTGATCACCGGTATGACCCGAATTAACGATATTTAGCTGAAGTGATCGTAGCTAGTAGGAAATAATATTATGAAGCGAATGAGCGAAAATCGATCGCGCAAGAGCGAAGATCCTTAGATTTTCTAACCCGCAATGTCATGGCTGTCGTCCTCCTCAGCAGAATCACTATCCGCGTTTCTTTCCACTAAAGATACATATTCTCCGATGGCTTCCAACACCGGAGAGCTTGAGTATTCCATGATCTCTTTAAGCCTGAACAAAAAAGTTAAAAAGTGCACGTAAGGAGTTCATAATTAGACTGAACTATACAGGTTGTCTCACTGCGAGTGTCAGAGCTCCAGCGGTCCGGGTCCTTGCGACCGCCTCGCTCGAGTGTGCCGCGTTCGTGTGTATCTTCTGAGAATTCCCAAGCTCGCCGGTCTTCAGGCTGCTCGGGGACTGCTCATATACTTTAAACGCAGCACAAGGCCAAATCGAGGCGGCGACGCCCGAACACTGCAGCTTTGACACTGACAATGAGACAGCCCTTAGATAGACAGATCAGCCCTTAGCAGATTCAAGGGTTGATTGTACTATTGCTGCAGACAACACTCGCGTAGCCATACTTTAGCCGAAATCGCAAGCAAACTCCGCAGTTTACAATGGCATCTTCGCGGAAGTGTTGTCATCTCCGCAAGCGCACTAACCCACCGACAAAACAACTGAACAATGAGACTGTACCTGGCCGCCTTCCGAAGCGATTTCACAAGAAGCGTAAACAACACAATAAGTGGTCCATTAACAAGTAGAACAACAACGATAACTTGATCTGCTCCTATAGATGGCATCAACGTGGCTAGAGCGGAACTTAGGAGACGTCCAACCATCATTGGAAAGATGAAGTAGTCCAACTGAGTACCTGCGCGAGGGCTGACGCACATCTGAATGCAGGCATTTACAAATA